GAGGTTGGAAAAGCACCACAGGTGCTGAGGAAGTTAATGACCTTAAGGTGCCTGAGGGTACTCTCTGAGCCTGATACCCAACACATCAGTCAGCTATTTCTAGTGGCTGGTGGAAAGCTACCATCAATAGAGTTAAGGGTTACTAGCAGCAGAAGTCAAATAAGTTCATGTTGTCATCCTGGATTTGAAATTGAAGAATGTTGGGACTGCTGAGACAGCTTCGTGCTTCAAGGACTCAAGAGAGGTGAGGTTGCAGATCTTCCTCGCAGCTGTGTTAATGTATAACTGAAAGGAAAGGAAATAAAAGTCTCCAGATAGCTTTCATCATTGTTCTGTTGGGGGTGGTCATATCTACAGTCTTCCTCTGTTTATCCTATCTGCATTCTGTCCTGAGCTAAGCAAATTTGTGACTGGGCAATGTGGAGAAGTATCTATGGCCAGTGTGAACACCCTGCTTGCAACCTAACGCTACGTTTAAAATACAGAGAGGCTTCTGGCTGATACACAGCCCTCATATTTGAAGACCTGTGCCACAAGATGAATGAATCTGGTGGTTGTGATCTGTCACGGTTTTCTTGGAAATAAGGAGTCCTGTGTTATTGCAATTTCAGAAAGGCATTAGGTTTAAGAGTGTGTAGGGAGAAAGCTAGGAAATCTGTAAGGGAGTTCAAATCTATGGATCAGAAATTTATCTTTGAAGTAGAATCTCTTTGAATCTAGATTCAAAAATCAAGGTTCAGATCAGCATATTGACTCCCTGTGGGGTTTTTTTAGACAACCATTGTATGAACGGTGAGCAGTAGTTGCTTCCAGTAACCTACCTTCAAAGGACTTTAAACAAAATCATGGCTTAAATTCTCTCCAAAGTTGTAGGGGAGATACATGAGGTTGTTGTGAGTGTGCTGTAGACTTTTCTGACCAAACAGTCTTTTGGTTTGAATCTGGCTGTTTGAACTGTTCTCTTTTCCCTGTGTACCCATGCACCTTGCTCTGCATTACAGGATCCTTGTAGTCTTCATGTTATGTGTGGATGTGTTACTTTTCTAGCTAGTAAAGGAAAAGGTAGAGGATGAAGTTGTTTTCCTGCTGTATGTCCTTGACTTCTGTAACTGTCATTTAACTCAGTTATCTACTTAATTCAAATGCTGAGTAATGTAATATATTAAAAAATACCAGCAGGGGATTGCTGCCTGCAGAACACTTCTGCGATCTTTGTTTCCTTGCTTTGTGTGAGGTGAGGCAAGTTGTAGAGGGACTCCAGATCTATTGAGTACGAAGTTGATGATTACCTCCCTCTGGGGAAGTCTTTGCAGCCCTGGAGAGTGACACCTGGGTGAGCTGCCCGGGAGGTGTCACAGCACTCACCCCTTGATTATGGTCTCTCCTGGATGGCTGTTATCTGCCACGGGGAATAAGGTGGGATTTCACGTTAAGTGAACCTTTGGCCTGACCCAGCAGAGTTGTTTTTACTTTCTTCTTTGCTGGAAATCCCTTTCTGTGCTCTAATTGTCACGTGTCTCAGGCAGTAACTGGGGGCTTGAGCGTAGGGGAGCCTTCCCTTTTGAGTACTTTTTTTAACATGTGTTGGAAGAGAAACAGGGAAGAAGGAAGGTTTGGGAAAAATAGCCTGAAATGTCACTTACTTTTCTGACTAACTACTGATTCAGTCAGGTTTCCCTTCCTGCATCTCTCACGCTGCTCCAAAATTAAATTCTTAGATTGCAGACCATTCTCACCCTTGTTCAGCCATCACTTAAAAATGATGATACTCATTCACCTTTTCTTTTATTGTTTTTCTATCCTTTCCTTTCTCATGATTGCTGAGCATTATGCTTCTTCTCCTCT